TCTGTTATGGTGGCCTCACTCTGTTATGGTGGCCTCACTCTGTTATGGTGGCCTCACTCTGTTATGGTGGGCCTCACTCTGTTATGGTGGCCTCACTCTGTTATGGTGGCCTCACTCTGTTATGGTGGGCCTCACTCTGTTATAGTGAGCCTCACTCTGTTATGGTGGCCTTACTCTGGATGCTCTGCTTTATTCATCTCACTCTACTGCTGCTTCATCACACTCACTCTGCCTTGGTGAGCATGAGTGTGATTCACTCTAGCTCATTCTGCTCTGTCTGGTTCACAATCCATGAGAGAAAAAGATCTTTTGGTGAACCAAACGTGCTCCACTCTGCACAATGTGGACCAGGTTCTTATAGCAAACCCCACTTAATTGTTACAGTCTGCCCATTGTGAACCGGATAGCGTCTTCTGCATAACATTTTCCTACTCAAAGTCTCTTGTCTGCAAATAGAAGTTTAACTTCAAACGAACTGTTGATCCAAGTTAAATATAATTTATCTTTCAAGAAGTCATACTTAATAAATATAAATACCCGAATTAGTCGCAGAATTAATTCTAATAAATATTACTTTAATTATAATAAATATTTCTGTTGAGTCTATTTTATCAGGCATCGATTAGGTGCGATATCGCAATGCTCATCCGATGATGTTTGTCACGCAGGCGTTCGTCACTGGAGCCTGTATGCGTAAGCTGTGTTCGTGCCGTGAATACAAACACTTGCTTGTATACCCACGCTCCACACGAATGAATCATGTGAACGTCATTCGTCGTCATAACCTGACTCCACGAAATTCCGGTATTCGTGACGAACCTACTAAAGCTTGAGGCGGAGGACATCCGCAAGTTTCTGCTTACATGAGTTTACTTTAATCATTATTAGCATATTGTTTACCCTTTCAATTAATAAATAAATAATATAATATAAAATATTATATTGTAATAATATTGCGAGTATAATGAGAATGTATTAGGTGTATGGGGAAAATGGAAGACATGTTCGAGATGATGCTGATTGCTGATCAGGTCACAAATCATATTAAATAATAATCATGATGTGAGGTTTTTTTGAGAAAATTTATAACCAATTTTTTCGGATTTTTTTCGTACCAGCAACGCATTAGAAAATGAAAATATTATCCATGTGACTTTTTGTAATTAGAAAATCTTTTGCTATATGAAAATGCCATCCTAAATAATCATCGTAATCCCTATTTTAAAATTTCGAACATCATTTTTCGTCGGACATCATATTTATTATTTGCCAATATATTCAGGCAGTGATGTGCTCACACAAACTTATTGTGTAGAGACGGCACAAACAGTATGAATAACTGTACTAGTAACAAATATTAAAATAATTACTGCAGTATAAATATTAAGAGAATACAGGGAAAGTAAACATATGTTATGTAATTAACAGTATTTATTTCGCATTCTTTACAAGGAAAATGACTTCATTGTTTGATGTCTTAGGATACGCTTTTGTACAAAAGGTTATGACTTCATTACAACAAATATGTTTTACAATTTAATCTATCTTTGCATTTACATGTTGGGTAAACAAAGTGAATATATTGTCATCTTAATTTAAAGGATTTAATCAAAGTGAAAAGAATTGATAACCTAAAAATTTTTGATTTTATAAAGTTGTATTAAATGAATGACAAAATTTCCGACACTAAAGCTCATTAATAATTGTTTTTCGAATAAATAATATGTAATTTTTCGTAGAATTTTGCATAAAAATATTGTATCTGAGATTGAAAAAAAAAATAAATCCAAAATATATTGCTCTATTTGGTCCTCATTCGATTGAAATAAATTCAAGGCTCAACTTTAATTTGATGATTTTTCATCGGTTTCGCTATTTCGAACAGTTCTTTAAAATAAAAGTTAAGGCTAAGCTAGCATCCTTTTATTTCGACACCACTTGAATATAAAGTTCAAATAACCACTCGCTTACTTAAGAAAAATCGTCGCCATGAAATGTTATGCCAGATTGATTTTTTCCATTTAACTTATGGGACGTAAGTGAACTTTACGTAAATTTTTTTATTAATATCGGAAAGAATGGCAGCAAATTTAAATCTGATGATTAAAAATATTTTTTTGATATAATGGTAGAATGAAATATATTTCAGTTATGCACGCAACAAATTCACCGTTAATAATCAATTGTAATTCTCTAGTTTTTGGATGGAAAAAATTGTAAATAAAGACACATCATAATTGAAATTTTAAATTTAAAGCATTTCATTAAATTCTGACTGCGGTGTCGGTACTCGACTTTTTAATTATATGTAATACTCCATAGTATTTCAATATTAATGATATTGCAAGGATGATATTGAGAGCTTTTTAATGTCTATTTCCATGATAGTGGATTACTTTAAAAAACAAATATAAAATAAAAACAAATCCCACCAAATGTGGGATTTGTACACATTTAATGAAAAATGGCCGTGTATGAGCGACTCATAATCTAACTTTAATATGGAACACCGTCTGCCAAACTACAAAATGATCGATTTCTGCCATTTGTAAACATATATTGACACGCAATTCTAATACTACAGCGCTATGGTAAATGTAATCTCAGATAAGAAAGGAGTCTACGCTTCTTAATCTAAGCTTAATATTGGACAACTTTATTGTTCTGGTATTTTACAAACTACATGTATTGATGACATTGGCTATCCGCTAGTAACATTTGCTAACCTTGACACACAGACTTTTTTCCGTCACAAAATTTATCATGAAGAGTTTTGAAAAAATGCCTGATGCATAAGTAATTGTCTTACAATGATGAAAATGAACAACTGTTACTTCAATTCGGAAATGAGTTAATCTGTAACAAGTGAATAGATAAGAAGTGAAATTCAGTCGAATTAAATAAATCATTATACATTTGCAAACAAGTAATATTTAAGTTTTACTTTTACATTGACGAATGTATATTTCAGTAGAAGAAAAAAGGGTAATTAGTGACGATATACTAAGGTGGTGAATTTAATACTAAATAAATCTCTGACTCGTCTATAATGAGTCGTTATTTGTGAATCCAGCGTCGGTGATGGCATGGAAAGACTTGTTTATCTCTTCTTCGTCCTCTTCATCTTCGTCCAAGTCATCAACGACACTGTCGTCGTTTCCTTGATCAGTCACCTTGTACACAAAAGACCTTATTTCATCGCTTAAGAATTTGACAGGAGTTTCGTTGACATTATTGACATCAGGAATATCTGGACCGCCTTCCTCGTGATGCTTCAGATGCCGATCCAAGTTAGTCTGTTGTCCGAAAGACCGAGAACACAAAGGGCATCGGAAAGGTCTCTCTTTGTTGTGGATGTTTCTGACATGGCGCTGAAGGTTACTCGAAATACTGAAGGATCGCTCGCAATGCTTGCATTTGTAAGGCTGTTCGCCGGTGTGAGTGCGAAGATGTCGCGTGAGGTTAGCAGATCGCGGGAAGACTTTGCCACAGAATTTGCAGGAGTACCGGTCTTTGGGACGGGGTATATGCGCGGGCATGAGGTCGTAAGTTCGAGACAAATCAGGATACGGTCGAGATGATGCGGTCATTTGTGCTTTAAAAAGATCCAGGTTTGGGCTGCGGCCCAAGCCCAATCCTAAGCCTCCCATTCCGCTCATAGCAGAGGCCGAAAAAAACGGCATCAGTGGATATGAACGAGGCGAGGCCGACGGTGGTAATAAATGCGCCCGTTCCTGGTTGTTACGCTCAAAATTACGACACATGTCGAAGATGTAGTTAGGATGCAAAGGTCTGGGGTACGCCAGATTAAATTTGGTCGGCGTGTCTACAAGAGACGTAGGCGGTGCAGGCAAAGTAGGGGGAGTCTTTGGTGTTGGTTCCTTCAGAAGGTCACTGATGCTCCATAAGGGATGGCCACTGCGGTGTTCGAAGTTACGAGGCTGAGGGTTCTCCTTTACAGGAGATTTATCTTTGGATATATCAGACTGAGAAGATGATGATGCAATTTTGTTATTAGAAATCAAATCCATTTCTTCTCGTCGCACTGTGAGGTCTAGGGGAGTTGACTCTTTTCTCCCGCCAGGCAGTTTTGGTTTCGGCTCAAATTCGTTGGAATTTGGAGACGGACTTAAACGCCTAGGTGATGTCATCATAGAATCTTCTACGTCACTTTGTGTTTTGCTTTGGTCCATGGAGTCTTCGGATTCATGTGTAGATTCTTTGCCAGGCGAAGGCGATTCTTGCTGAGAGGAGAAAAGTGGTGATCTTGACCTCGCGCGTGATGACGCTTCATCATCCAATGTCTGCACGTCACCACATCTACTCTGTTCTAACGTTAATGATGATTCAATCCTGGGCCCAGCACCTCGAAATTCTCTATCTGATTCCTCTCCCAAAGATATTCCTGAATCATGTTGGTCGTGCATTTCTCGTTTGTGCCTCCTGGTGTTGCCATGGAGCGGGAGAAACATGGAAGGAGTTATGAGAGGATGCTGAGGACCACCGACTAAAGAAGGGAAATTTGAAAACATTGGATAATTCCCTAGAATAGATTGATGGAGCAGAGGGATTGGTGGTCTGGGATACATCGCAAGAGAGCTTGGAGGCGAAACCTGCAAAGATCGCATGCCGTAATTGGATGGAGGTAATTTATTAAATTCATTCATAGGAGCGAGGCCCGCTTGCATTGGTGTAGTCGGTGCGGTATCACAGAACCTTTTGTGTTTGCTCAAATGCGTTGAGTTTGGGAAAGTCTGATTACATTTACTGCATTTCACTTGCTGTCTGCAATCAGCGTGCATTCGTTTGTGACGACACAAGTTGCTAAACTGTGTGTACGCTTTGAAGCAAGATTCGCACACGTATGGTTTCACAGATGAATGGATGTGCGTGTGTTGCTTCAACCCGGAACTCGTGGCGAATGTTTTGCCACATTCAGCACACGCATATGCTCTGGCACCAACATGTTGGGTTCGAATGTGTTTTTGTAGCACTGAAGAATCTGTGAAAACTCGGGAGCAGTTCTCGCAAGGGTAGCGCTTAAATTCGCCGTGAATGATATTATGTTGGATGAGGCTTGGCCGCCATGCGAAAGCCCTGGGGCAATATTTACATCTGTGCTGATTTGCTGGGAAACCGTGGGATGCAATGAGATGCTCATCCAACCTGCATATGCGGGGAGAAAGAAAACTGCGATTAGTCACTGAATGTAAATTTAAAGTGCATTTTCAGTTGCATTTGACTAATTCTACATTAATTTTTTTTCTATCGCAGAAATTTTTGAAATTATTGCAGCACACTCAAAAGTTCAGGATAATTTTCTGTTTAGAATCTTAAACCTACTTTGTTTTCTCATAAATTTGAGGCAGTTGTTGCTCTATGTCATTCCAGCTCCTTTCTCATTACCTGAACGTCGTATGTATGGAAGTTCAATTTAAACATAATTAAGTTAAGAATCGCAACTCACGAATCGTAATCTTTGAAGTTTTTATCGCACTGCAGACAGCGATGGCTGATGCCGTTATCGTCCACATCGTCCTCTGCCAGCTCGCTGTCGCACGCCCCGCCTGCCGCGTTCGTGGTCACTTCGTTGCGGTGATCCGAAGACTCTTCTTCCGAAACATCATCATCAGCTATGGATAGAAACAAATGCGATCTTTGTCCTAACCGTCAGCTACGAAGCCTCATCGTCAGCTACGAAGCCTCATCGTCAGTTACGAATGTCGACAGATGCGATCTTCTACCTCATCGTCAGCTCCGGATAGAAACAAATGCAATCTTTGCCCTAATCGTCAGCTATGAATGCAAACAACTGCTATTTTTAACCTCATCTTCAGCTGCAAATGTAAACAAGAGCAATCTTCTACCTCATCGTTAGCTACAAATGTAAACAGAAGCAATCTATTACCTCATCGTCAACTACGAAACCTCATCGTCAGCTACGAATATAAACAGATGCAATCTTCTACCTCATCGTCAACTACGAAACCTCATCGTCAGCTACGAATATAAACAGATGCAATCTTCTACCTCATCGTCAGCTACGAAACCTCATCGCCAGCTACGAATTTAAACAGAAGCTATGCAACGGTAATTAAGACAAATTACCATAGCGTTGAAATTATTTTATGCAGCTTTTGATAGGTAATGATGCCCGAGTGTGGATGAAATCGCGATTTTCAGTTACTTTGCAGAGTAAATGCAGGCACCCATATCATTCTGCGAGTTTTTTTATAAATATTCGTGAAATACTAATATATTTGAATAATATGAATTCGTAAAGAATTTTTTTTCTTTTGCAGCCCTGTTTGGCGAAAGATTGATTGTAATTTTTGCACGATCTTTGAAAAAAATTCAAATTGCACTGTAAAATTGCACTAGTACCATTACTGATATTATTATTATTATTATTATTATTTTAATGAAAGCCTAAAAATATGAAGTATAAAGCCGAAGTAAAACAATTGAATAAAAAATTGCTATGTTATGATTAACTGATCTAATTAGTCTTGTAAGGAACAGGAACGCTCTATAAATGTTAAAGATTAATTTCAAGCGAATTCATTATCTCTCGATAAAATTTGAAGCATTATTTTAAAAAAATCCTAGAAAGCTTTTAACGCCACAATTCTTTAAAAGTAGGAAACACCTCACTTGAAATACCTGATCATAGATTTTTTATCAAAGTCCAAACATCAATAAATAAGAAACAAAATATCATTATATAAACAAAAATACTAAATTAATAAAACAACAACCAAACATCTCAAAATTAATTTCCAGACATCAAATAAAATAAATTATTTGATGTCGTTAATTATCTGATTGTTATTTCATCAAAGTATAAATTGTTACTTTGTAAAGATCTCATTATAAACAAAGAGGTTCGTAAAAGTATTATATTATCCGGTGCAGAGGGCCGGAGATCTCACCGGTGTAGGAGGTATCGAGATCGACGACTGTCTTGCGTGCCAGCAGCAGCTCCTCGCCCGGTGCGATGTCACGCGACGCTTCGTAGAATATCTGGACGCACAAACCCGGTCATGACGAGAACTATATTGGTTGCTTGGAGGATAGTGGTGGGTAGTGGAGGATAGTGGTGAGTGGAGGAGGACAGTGTTGGGTGGTGGAGGATAGTGGTGAGTGGTGAACGATAGTGTTGGGTGGGGGAGGATAGTGGTGGGTGGTGGAGGATAGTGGTGAGAGGGGGAGGATAGTGGTGAGTGGTGGAGGATAGTGGTGAAGGATAGTGGTGGGTGGTGGAGGATAGTGGTGAGTGGAGGAGGACAGTGGTGGGTGGTGGAGGATAGTGGTGAGTGGTGAACGATAGTGTTGGGTGGTGGAGGATAGTGGTGAGTGGAGGAGGATAGTGGTGGGTGGTGGAGGATAGTGGTGACTTGTGAACGATAGTGTTGGGTGGGGGAGGATAGTGGTGGGTGGTGGAGGATAGTGGTGAGTGGTGAACGATAGTGTTGGGTGGTGGAGGATAGTGGTGGGTGGAGGAGGATAGTGGTGGAGGATAGTGGTGAGTGGAGGAGGATAGTGGTGAAGGATAGCGGTGAAGGATAGTGGTGGAGGATAGGGGTGGGTGGTGGAGGGTAGTGGTGAAGGATAGTGGTGAAGGATAGTGGTGAAGGATAGTGGTGAAGGATATTGGTGAAGGATAGTGGTAGAGGATAGTGTGAATGGTGGAGGATAGTGTTGGGTGGTGGAGGATAATGGTGGGTGGTGGAGGATAGTGGTGAGTGGTGAACGATAGTGTTGGGTGGTGGAGGATAGTGGTGGGTGATGGAGGATAGTGGTGAGTGGTGAAGGATAGTGGTGGGTGATGCAGGATAGTGGTGAGTGGTGGAGGATAGTGGTGGAAGATAGTTGTGGGTGATGGAGGATAGTGGTGAGTGGTGGAGGATAGTGGTGAGTGGTGGAGGATAGTGGTAAGTGGTGGAGGATAGTGGTGGGTGGTGGTGGATGGTGGTGAGTGGTGGAGGATAGTGGTGGGTGGTGGAGGATAGTGGTGGGTGGTGCAGGATAGTGGTGAGTGGTGGAGGATAGTGGTGGAGGATAGTGGTGAGTGGAGGAGGATAGTGGTGGGTGGTGGAGGATAGTGGTGAATGGTGAAGGATAGTGGTGGGTGATGCAGGATAGTGGTGAGTGGTGGAGGATAGTGGTGGAGGATAGTGGTGAATGGTGAAGGATAGTGGTGGGTGATGCAGGATAGTGATGAGTGGTGGAGGATAGTGGTGGGTGGTGGTGGATGGTGGTGAGTGGTGGAGGATAGTGGTGAGTGGTGGAGGATAGTGGTGAGTGGTGGAGGATAGTGGCGAGTGGTGGAGGATAGTGGTGGGTGGTGCAGGAGAGTGGTGAGTGGTGGAAGATAGTGGTGGAGGATAGTTGTGGGTGGTGGAGGATGATGGTGAGTGGTGGAGGATAGTGGTGAGTGGTGAAGGATAGTGGTGGGTGGTGGGTGATGCAGGATAGTGGTGCGTGGTGGAGGATAGTGGTGGATGATAGTTGAGGGTGGTGGAGGAGAGTGGTGAGTGGTGGAGGATAGTGGTGGGTGGTGAAGGATAGTGGTGAGTGGTGGAGGATAGTGGTGGGTGGTGGAGGATAATGGTGAATGGTGGAGGATAGTGATGAGTGGTGGAGGATAGTGGAGAGTGGTGGAGGATAGTGGTGAGTGGTGGAGGATAGTGATGAGTGTTGGAGGATAGTGGTGAGTGGTAAAAGATGGTGGTGAGTGGTGGAGGATAGTGGTGAGTGGTGGAGGATAGTGGTGAGTGGTGGAGGATAGTGATGGAGGATAGTGGTGAGTGGGGGAGGATAGTGGGGAGTGATGGAGGATAGTGGTGAGTGGTGGAGGATGGTGGTGAGTGGGGGAGGAATGGGGGGAGTGGTGGAGGATAGTGGTGTGTGGTGGAGGATAGTGATGAGTGGTGGAGGATAGTGGTGAGTGGTAAAAGATGGTGGTGAGTGGTGGAGGATAGTGGTGAGTGGTGGAGGATAGTGGTGAGTGACAGATAGAGGTGAGTGATGGAGGATAGTGGTGGGTGGTGGAGCATAGTGATGATGTTGGAGGATAGTGGCGGGGATGGTGAGTGGTGAAGGATAGTAATAGTGTTAATGAGTGGTGGAGAACATTGGTGGTGTTAGTGAGTGGTGGTATTGAAGGATAATAATGTTGATGGATATTCGTGGTGGTGTTGGCGGAAAGTGGTGGTGTTTGAGGATAGTGGTGGTGTTGGAGGATAGCGATGGTTTTGGAGGATAATGGCGGGGGTGGAGGATAGTAGCGGTTTTGGTGAGTTCTGGATTATGAACTAATAAAAAAGTATCAATATTCTTTCATTTTACCTCACCGGGGCCACAAATGTTGCTATATTTAATCGACTTTAAATAGAAAAACGGTGGAAGGAAAGTGAAGAAGTTCTTGTGGGACGATTGGTTAATCGTTAATGTTGAGAAGACATAGTTTGCTTAACCAATTCGAAGTAAAAAGCCTTATAAATGTCAGCTGAAAGTAAAAGAAAAATAACCAAGCAGCATATTTTCACTACTGAAAAATAATTCATGAAAATGAAGAAAATCAAATTCTTAATTTTTAAGTTTAATATTGAATTTAAGAATTTTACCTTTCTGTTTAGCAGGACGTGCTTGAGGTTGGCTGAGGTGGCTGAGTCAGCCACAGCCACCAGCCTCAGCCAGTTACCGAACTCCCTGGCGTCCAGCCACCCGCGCTCGCCAGTTCGTGACGACATCACCTGCCGTGAAAACAATCCATTCAACATTAATAAAATTTGCAATCATTGCTCAATAAATACATATAATAAAAAATATATTCCAAAAGGCCAATGGACCTCAATTATTCATCTGTTCACATCGTCAAAAATTATCCGCGTGGTATTAGATGCCCAAGTAAAATAATTATAAAACTTGTACAATTTTTGCAAAATCGCATTCTACGTTTTACAGTGCGCGTAGATTTCGTCGTGATGGATGCGCACGGCTTGATTTACTAAGACCACTGAACGTTTTTTCTGCTGGATGATATTTTCCAAAAAAGATGATATTCCCAAAATCCTTCATACTAAATCAACAAATTATTGACATTCAACAATGCCCGCGAAAAAAACTGTGGTTAAAGTTGCAATGAAAAACGCGCTAGTGAAATGTTACAAGCGAGAACCGTGGACTAATGTTGGTATTGATGTCGGCAGTTAACCTGGGGTAATTTCCGAACCAATTTTTAAATTGATATGTGATTTATTGTATTCATGTACTCATTTAGTAAGAAGATATGATGCATTTACATTCAGTTGGCAAGTATTTGACTGTGATTGAGTTTCGGTGTAACCAGCATTTGGTATATAATATAATAAAATATAATAAAATATAATATAATAAACGTTAAAAATATAATATTTTAATATCTCCGATTGTCATCAAAAAATAACAATTACAAGGCCAAATTTGCTGAAAGACTTACACTTTCATTCGTGTTTCCGCTGATCATAATTTAAAAATTCCTGCGTCTTTCAAACTTTCTTCAATAAAGCAAGTTTATCGGGGAATTTGAATAGATTTTGCAAGGTAACATTCATTTGCACATCTGAGAATCTATTTTTAAAAATATTGTTTTGAATTTATCACAGCTAGCTGCATAAAAATACGACTACAATCTAAAGCTGAGTTCTGTTATAAATTAATTTTTAAATATTCAATAAAATTACATGTGATTAGAAAGCTTTTGGAATTTAATTCCTGAAAAATTGTAATTACTGGCATTTCAAGTTAATCACTTTAGTGTTAATAAATTAACTCTACGTAATGATAATTAATTAGTATCAAACATTAATGACTTTAACGATATTTTTACTAACTATTAACTAATAACTAACTAATTCACAGCCATCAAATCAGTTCATGTCAGTTATCCATTCATCATGTCCATATCCATGTTTATCAAGGCGTAATTATTTTACATATCATTTGGTGGCAATGAATTCATTCGAGCATTTTTTCAGCTGTACGATTCATCGTATAAGCTCACGCTCTACATTCAGTATCCAAATTAACATTCAGACAAAAATCAGATTCTCAATATCATACAAATCCATCTCAATCACGGCATCCAATTCAAAATCAATGCATCACAACAGCAAGTACTGAAGGCAATCCACTGCTTGCCTGCGGCAATCACCGCGTCACAGCAGCAATCGCGGCATCCCTGCCACAATCGCGGCATTCATACCGCAATCGCTGTGCTACATCGCAATTATGGTGATCCGCTGACTCACGATATCACTTAACAAATATTCATGTCATCACTCAACAAACATTTGCAGCACCAAAATGTCATTTTTTGACCACCGCATTATGATTAATTTCTACGCTAGATTTCCGAAGCGGTCGACAGAAAGGCAGTTTTTCAACATCGCTTTAGCGTCTCAGAATGACGGGACAGCGACACCTCCCCCCCAGTCTGCCTCAGCATATCTGCATCACTTCTAGTCACCACTCCACCAGCACCGCTCGATCCTTATCACCACTCACTCTGCACCACTCCTCTTCGCCACTCCCCCAGCACCACTCCTATTCACCACTCTCTCAGCACCACTCCCCCTGCACCTCTCCTTAGCACCACTCCCCCAGCACATCTCCTATTCACCACTCCTTATCACCACTCCTATTCACCACTCCTATTCACCACTCCTATTCACCACTCCTATTCACCACTCCTATTCACCACTCCTATTCACCACTCCTATTCACCACTCCTTATCACCACTCCTTATCACCACTCCTTATCACCACTCCTTATCACCACTCCTATTCACCACTCCTATTCACCACTCCTTATCACCACTCCTTATCACCACTCCTTATCACCACTCCTTATCACCACTCCTTATCACCACTCCTTATCACCACTCCTTATCACCACTCCTATTCACCACTCCCCAGCACCACACCCACAGCACCACTCCTATTCACCACTCCTTATCAACTCTTCCCAAGCACCACTCCTAGTCCCCACTCCCCCCCAGCACCACTCCCATTCACCACTCCCCCAGCACCACTCTTTATCACCACTCCCACCACCACTCCACGTTATCGTACAATAAGCGCGTGGTATGCGGAGGTTCGCACCGTCCGTGTTGCTTGTGTCAGGGACGAGCTACGAGTGCATCCGAAGCGCGCAGTGTCCGCCTTTTAGGCGCCGCTATTGTTTGTTCCCAGGCGACAACGATGACGTCATCTTCGATGTTTCATTACTTCCAAGAAGTTTTATTTTCAAATTAAGAATATCAGTCTAAAATAAATCGATAAATGAGCTCTTAAACTGATAAACTATCAAAGCTCCTTATTTATATCAGATGTAAGTTTAAAATTAATCTAGGAGAATGCAAATTTTTTTGGCGAACACATATGAAACACGTGGTTTGCTATATAGCAGGTCAACGAGATATTTAAAATACCCGTAAATATAATAATAAAATATTTAATGTAAATCCGGCAATTTTATTCACCTATAGAAAATACGTAAATTTCCTCAGAGTTTCCTTTCTCAAATTTTATGTAAATTTTAGTCTCTATTGACCTATAAAAACAACAATGCAGCATGGAAAGCCACTCGATTATACTGAAGGTCAGTCAATGCTTCTTTAATTTATGCTTCGAATACGTTATTATTTACCTTCACATTGACTATTTCTTATGAACATCTCACATGGCACGCACAGTAATTTCACTAATTAAAAGCTCAGTTAGTCAACCATTTGGCGGATCATATATGTGCATTAAACATTTTCATAAACATTTCATTTTTATCATAACTTCTAAAAAGGAAACGACATCCAGTTGCATCTCTGATAACACATATGCATGAGGCCGTTCCATTGATAGCGATTGACATAAAATTATTTATTATGCTATTTAAAAATAAATAATAACACAGTGAGAGTAGCATCAATTGAGTGCATTTTCCGAAAAATTATGCTGAGACCTTTCCATTGATAACAATAATTACGTATTGTGCTACTTATAAAAAATCTAACACTCCGAGAGTAGCAACATTTCCCGAAAAATAACACATGTACAACAACATTGTAGAGACATTTCTTCTATAATAAAAGCACATAACACTTCAGCAATGAGCGTCATGGTCACACACAGTCATCGTCCTGTTATGCGGATTGGGAAGTTGAACCATGTTTCACAACCATTGCCTCGGAACAATGCTGTCCAAGACATCGCGCACTTTAGTTTCATCATTGTAGTGTCACATCACGAGTCATTGTTGTGCATCTGCAACCATTGTGCAGTTACCGCGAGCTTCCTTTCACTTCTCGTGGGTTAATTAGTGTGCAAATATCTTTAATTTTATTCTGTTTAGGATGGACAGAAATTGATTTAAGGACAAAGAATTTCGCAATATTTTTATGTAATACTCATGTTCATTTTTTCTAAATAATTCAGTTGACATTGGGACACTAAACAGAACCAATGCGAGTGACAGATTAAAAACTCAAGGAAGCTTTGGTTCATCTGATGTCAGGCGTCGTGACTGAACCCATTCATTCTAACTCATCACACGATGAATGCTTATCACTCAGCACTCATCGCGTCGCAATGAATACAAACATCTGTTTAGGCTCATGAATAGCAGAGTGAGCGACCGCATCGTTGCCATGGACTCCGCCCCGTACGCTCCAGACTCCTCCTATAAATTGAAGCCGTGATTTAAATGCCGCTAACTTAATAACATTTGTAGTAATTATGCTGCATCAATAAATTGTAAAAATTTTTGTAATTATCTATATAACTGACAAATTTGTAGTTAATAAGATTCATCATCTAAAATAATTTTTGTGGTGCTCTTAATGCTTCAGACCTTTAATCACTTCAAGAAATTGTTATTAAAAGTTAAATTGTTAAAATCGCTATGATCGCATTAAGGGTGCATCAGAGTGGGCGCATTATTATACTTTAATGTTGTACGCAGAAATAAACTTAAATAATGTGCGTATTGATTGCATCTAAATAGTACGCACATTATTATACATTTATACGTCGCGTATTACTGAACCTACATATATTGGATTATAAATATTTTTAAATAGAGAGTGAATTTATATGCTTGAATCGGGTGCGTATCATTTCGCGTTTATTATGGCTTCATAATTACACCTCAATAGTAAAATAATTCAGATAATTAAGGTAGGTTGTTATTGGTCATTCACCAGCCTATGAGATTTGCACAAATAAAAGCAAATGTAAGTCTAATTGCTAATCCTTAACTTAAGGCAGAAGAAGGGAAGCTGTTCGCTAAGGGGGACCTCGGTAGGAAGTTTGCACAAGTGTTATCTTTGGTTTATCTTGGCATGAACGCCGGAGAGGAGTTTGCTAAAGGCCGGAAGCGGATGATTGAGAGGATGTTGCAGTGATCCGGTATGATTGTCGCCAAACAGAAATACAATCTCCGGAGCAGCAGGTTCACGGAACTCTCGGAAACGACTCTGCTTACCTGGTGTTCATGGAATGAATTTAACGGTAATTGATTATCGATAATTAAATGATTTCATTGATATCGGAAAAATATTTTACTGAGCCACGGAGGTAAATTCAAATGAAATTACTTTTCGTATTCAAATCATTAGTGAATTTAAAATGAATTTGGCGTAATTAATAGTTGAATATTTTCGGAATTTATTTTAGATAAATTATTTAAAAAAACAATAACGACTGCCAAGTTTGTACT